GACTCCATCTGTAGAAGACTGCCTTGAAGACCTTGGCCACATTATTAGGGAGGCTAGGTCCCAGAAGGCCCATCAAGGCACATATGCTGAGGAGTTGGCCCAAGTCCATGAGATTCTGTTGCAAGATGGTATCAGCGAGACTAATGTAGTATTCGTGCAAGCCCTAAACCTTTGCAACAATAGGCTCCGTCGTCGGGCTTTTCTTAATATGAAAACTAAAGAGGGCCGGCTGAACTGGATCAATGTGACGTGGGGCTTCGTGTGCTCCACAAAGTCCTAGTGATCAGCACTATTGTTCATACTATGTTTTTTTCTATTGTTTTCTGTTTTCCACCATGTGTATGTTGAGTTGATTCTATTCGTTGTTTCGTTATGTTCGTTTTGTTTGTTTTAACAAAGACCGTTGCGGAGAACTAAGTGTATGTCATTGTCTCATGTTTTGAATAAAATATTTGTGTCGTGCTGTGAGCGTTGTAAGACCTTATCCATGTATCACTTTTCTCTTGTTCATTCCTTACATACATTTGTCTAAGGTGGTCGTGCCACCTTCCTAGTTCAGGTATCTTGACATGTTCACTTATTAGCAAATGTTTTCTTCCCAATATATGCAACAACGTCTTACTGATTTGTGCCCATTTGCAGGTAGCATAATGAGCAACACTGACGAGTCGTCGTACAGCGACACTTCCAGTGATGGACTGAGCACTGTGACCTTGCCAAAGGCAGCAGTCATCCTTCTAAGGTTGAAAGGTATTATGTCGTAGCAAATGCCTGAGGTAAATCCTCCTTGTCCCATTCCTAAACTATCTGGAGCCCAATTGATGCAGCTTACCCTTGCCGACCAAACCAAATGTATAGACAATTTGCGCATGACGCGTGATGCCTTCATGCATTTGCATGACACCCTGCTGCCGTTTGGCCTGCCATCAACAGATAAGTGTAGCTCGATAGAAGCTTTAGGCATGTACATCTGGACCTGTGCCCACCAATCTGCAAGTAGAGAGTGTAAAGATAGGTTTGAAAGGTCTTTAGATATAGTTAGCAGAAAGATAACAGCAGTTGCAGAGGTCATGTATAGGTGGGCAAATACTATCCTAGTGCCCGCAGATATGAACTACGCACGCGTAAGCCACAAACTTGCTACATATGCACTATGGTTTGATGGATGCATAGGTGCTATAGATGGCACGCACATAAAGGTTGACGTTAACTGTGAAGCAAAGGCTGATTTCTTCAATAGGAAAAGCGAAACAACAATTAATGTTTGCGCCATCATGGATATGGATGGTCGTTTCACATACGTGGGGGCCGGGAAGGCAGGGGGCATGTCATGACATGGCGGTATTGAAAGACTGTCAGGCGACGATTCGTTCCCACATCCCCCAGCAGGTTCGTGATGCCTAGCAAAATTTATAGACTAAAGGAAGTATTTGAAAACTAGTTACATTCTGATCTGAAAAATCACAATGTTTCAGGCAGTGTTGACATGACTAATTGGTGATCTGTTGTCATTTCTTGTAGGCCGGTATTACCTAGCGGACCGGGCTACACGGACATGCCAAGATACATGACTCCCTTCAGAAACACAAGGTATCATATCAACGATTTTAGGGGCGTAGAGTTGCAGCAGTTACAGAGGGGGGGAATTCAACTACATTCATGCGAAGTTGCGAAATGTCATTGAAAGGAGGTTTGGGGTCTTGAAAGAACATTGGCAAATTCTGAATGGGGTGTCGTACTGCAAGAGGATGAAGCAGTCTATGATAATCAATTCATGCTTTGCTTTAGAAAATTACTTGTGGATGCTTAAGTACGGAGCTGATCCACCATCGTATGAGGTGCCGGAGTGGGTTGAGCTAAATCAGGGAACCCCAATCACTGGAATTAGGGAGTTAATATCTATGGTTGTGTGGAGTGGTATCTAATTTAGGGCAGTTGAGGTAATACAGCTACTTCCTATATATATGCCTGCTCTTTACAGTATTGAATTGTGGTAATTAATTGCTCCTCAAACATTAGCACCTCAAAATTAAATTTAGATAACTGTCAGTATACATGTGAACCTGTGGAACAGGTTGTTTTACACCTCAAACATGTGATCCTGTGGAACTGGTTGCTTTGCTTTATAAAATTAATGCCTTTCAATATTTCAGAGTATATACTGTGGAACTGGTTGCTGACTTGGTCTGGGCATGTTGCTGCTGAATCTGCAACTGGGAAGAGGTAAGGAGCTCAGCTGTCAACTTTGAAACTGTGATTTTTTCCTTACATCTGCTATTTTATGTCTTGGCAGAGTATTTGTTGTATCTCCACTGCAGTAAAAGGCACTTGTTCATTATTGTCGAATTGTACCTTGCATATGACTAGTAAATGTTGTACAAGTTCTTGTGAAAGGAGTTAGAAGACACTCCACTCCAGTCATCAGGGATTTCTATAACAGCCAATTAACTGCCAGGTCTCCATTCTCATTATCGTATTTCCTTAGTTTCGCATGAAAGATTCTAACACAGTCAGTATACTTGTTGAGTTAAGATTTCCACCTGATGTTTGTCACGTTGCATTGCAGTGGACATGATTATGATGATACTCTGCTAGCTAAGTTTGAAAGTATCTTCACAGATTCTGGAGACCATAGCTCTACAATGGTTGGCATCAATGCTTATTCCTTCCCCAACTTGGCAATTTTTGCAGTCATCATTGCTTATCTCCTGCTATCACTGTGCCTTGTAGTTTGTTTTCAACATTGACCAAGGTCTGCCTGTTCTTCCTGAGTGGCTTAGCTTCAACAGAGTGACAGCACGTTTGAGACAGGGATATGAAATTGGTCCTGCTAGGCTTCTTGTAAGGTTTGTTGTAATCACATTCTTGAATGGGGCCTGTAGCCAAAAAAAAATCATGAACTTAATCCCTGCATTGAACTTGCACTGACAGTTTTTCCAGTTCTGTTACTTTCTTTATAATTTGTTTGTTTGATGATGTAGTGCTTCTGGAGGTCACATGGAGACAAAAATTCAACCTCATGAAGCATTTGCAATTGGTGGGAGAAATAGTGTAAGAGGATACGAAGAAGGTGCCGTTGGCTCTGGGCGCTCTTATGCTGTTGGTAGTGGTGAAGTTTCATGCCGCCTGTTAAACTTCTTTCTCCTCCCGGCATTACTGTCTCTTTTGTTGTTGTCAAATGGACCACATGGAAGTATGACAGACACAACTGTGTGGTAATTTACCACAGAATGTCGTATTGGCGACAAGGGTGTACATGATGATGTCACCAGGAACAAATGGACTGTAAATTATTAGTTGAACATGTAACTTATTTAACTGTGTACTGCGGATTACAAATGTATTGTGGTTTGGCGCCATTATATGAAACCACCTGTTGTTGGCGCCAATATTCAATTTGAATTTGAAAATTTGAAATCTGCATGGTAACTAGCTGCTGAGAATGGCTGGTGGCTAGAATTGGCTGGCTGGGCTGGCTGGTCCCAGCCAACCAGCCAATTCAGCCCTGTCAAACAGGCTGGTAAATGGTTAGATTTGAAAGATGCTGGGTAACCTTTTAGATAAAGATGCTGGTAATTAGCTTTTCTCGATTACATATTGGTAGGGCTTTTATGTTCACACGAAGCCTAAGTTGTACACATCCAGTTGATACAGTTAAGTACAATCATCTCGTTGTTGCGACAAAACAACCTACACACACGAGTATTTTCACAATCATCTACCCTGAATCTTGAAACCAAGGTGGTTCCATTGGAAATAAGGGTGTTTGGTTTGAAGAACAATCCCAACCTAGATGAAGTTCATCCCATAAATTTTGGTGGAATTACCACATTCCTCATGTTTGTACTTATTATTATTACCTTGTGAGAGATGAGATGGAGAATCAAATCATTCTAAGGTGAGAAGTGAGAAGATGATAGACCACCCCATTCCTCAAATCAAACGCATCGAAAATTAACGCATGGTGATGTCACACAGACTACTCAAGGAGCATTATCACAGAGAGCCTCCAATGGCAGACTGCAAATAATATAGGGTGTGTTTGGTTTTTGTGCCAACTTTTAACCTGGCTAGAATTCTAGCCTGGGCATCCTTAGCCAACTCCCATCAAGCCAACCCCTGATTGTTTGGTTGTCTATACTATGTTAGCATGGCTAGTCTAAGGTGTGTTTGGTTGCCTGGTTTGTTTTGATACAGTCACCTCTTCTCTGAATTGGTAAGGTTATCCCTTTCATACAATGCACTATAATGGTAAGTTTTTCCGAGAATGAATAAAAGGAGACAAATAATAGCAGCGAAAACAAGGAATAAATTCATATCCAAATTCATACTGTTGCGCATTAAGCAGGTTAATTCACCCACCAACGCAATACATTGAGCATGAGCACATGACACAAAGTTCATGCAAGCTGGACACAGCAACTGAAACTGAGAGTAAGAACTGCAGCCTGCAAGTTTCTGCAAAACTGAATGTTCACAACATTAGAATAAGGAACCTTACAGCAGGATCACAACATTAGAATAAGGAACCTCACCAATTTGACTGCTATACATTAGACATGAACTAGAAAAAAATGAGAACCAATTCTTGAACTAAAAGCATGAATGCTCGAACCCTCTTGTAAACTTGTAATAATAGCAGAAGACATAACAAGAACTTATTTTTTTTTTTTGACAACAAGCAACTTTATTATTAGCAGCAGGCTGCTGCTATAAGGGAGTACATGTCCCATTGTACATCCTGCAGTGCCATTAGCAGAGGGCAGCTGCCTTCATGATTTACATTTGTACAAGAACTTATTCCATATTGAAGTGACAGACAGCTAGCTGGCGACACACACACAACCTTTCATAAACCGTGTTTCAGACCTCCCCTAAACTTAGTAACAACTACAGTCATAAAAAGGGTTCTATAATCCGCATAAATATATCCAAGGTGCATACAGTAGAACAAAAACAACATGACGATCAAGATCCCCTAAATTTCCTTTGAAAGCAAATTAGTAGATTGATGGGTAAAATTCTGCAACAAACAGAAAATCACATAGGAAGATCTATTTGCAGGCAATTGGAAAAATTTACTACACCTCAATTCCATCCAAACGCGACAGGTTACTGCCAAATTGGACATGGGACAAACAGCGATTTCACCTGGAAATCTGGAACCCAAGAAACGCTCGCTGCAATCCAGCATTCTGCTCCCACATATTCTCTAGCATCCTCAAATCCGCTTCTTCATCCTATCGCAGTACCTCTGTTCCTCTTCATCCTATCGCAGTACCTCTGTTCCTCTGTATCGCAGTACCTCTTCATCCACAGATTCTCTATCTCCTCATTCCTCTGTATGGCCAGCTCAAGCAGCATCCTCAAAGGGCCGCCAGGAAGCAGCACGGCCGCGAGGTCGTAGATGGCCATGGCGACGAGCAGCGCCCAGGTGGTCCACTCGGGCAGAGCGTGAACCAGAAGGCGGTGAGCACGGCGACGGTGACGGGCGTGGCCTGGTGGAGCGCGATGGGGACGGAGGCCGGGGCCAGCGCGGCGAGCGCGAGTGCCCCCGCGGCGTTGGGCAGGAGCAGCGCGAAGGATACGGCGTCGAGCGCGAAGCGGAGGTGGGAGAGGAGGAGCGCGACCTGGCCGCCGAGGACGAGGAGGACGCCAAGTGCGGAGAAGCCGAGGTAGGCGCGGAGGCAGGGCCGCCGCCGGTGGTTCCGTCGCGGGTGAGGGAGGTGACGAGAACGGGCCACGGTGCCCAAGCCTGGCTCCCAGAAAACGACCGCCCCCTGCGTTTTTCTGGAGCCTGGCTAGAGGGTGGTGGGTGGCTTACTGGAGCCTGGCTTCAGACTCAAAACAAGCAACCAAACAGCACGAAGGTGGCTTCGTGGAGCCTGGTTTGGACTTAGCCACCCAACCAAACACACCCATAGTAGTCAGATCATTTAAAGGTGTTTTAACCACCATGGTTGTGAATGATTTCAATTCAATGTGCCTCATTCTGCTCATTGAGATTTTCATGAGCTAGTCTATATCTCTCTGAATGGTCTAGCAGTGTAAGTAACTTCATTTCCAAGTGTTCCTTTTATACCTCTGCTTTACACTGCAAAATTGCTACTGTTATCTTTGTTTGCTAGGACCAAATTCTCTTTTTTCTAAAAAAAGAAAGAAGAAAATAGCGCACAATAATTTTCAGATAGAGGATCTAATGCATAAGACTGGGTCTATTGTCTAAAGAAATGATATATTACACATTCACACTAGATTACTCATTACTCAAGTGGCACTATAGTACATTGTGCCTTGAATGGCAGATTGCACACAATAGCAGTTAGGTAAGCCAAAGATGCTTCAATCACCATGGTTGTGTATGGTTTTGTGGTGTGCATTATGCTCATTGAGATTTCCCTGGGCTAGGGCAACTTGCTGTGATTGATCTAGCAGTTGAAGTAATATTGTTTTCAAGATAGTTCCTTCTATACCCTTTGCTTAAGCCAAGTTCTACATAGGGATTTAATGCATAACTAAATTCCTATATATTGTCTACAATAGTTATATACTGGACTAGAAACCATCAGCAAAACATCTATGATCACAGTTCACAGACTAATGCAAAAACATATGTCACCTAAAGGATGTACATTGCATTCAAAGGGTGAGCTGGGTAGTCATGATACTGCTGATACAAAGAAATACCTTTGTCATCGAACAACCCAAACTCTATCAATAAGCACCCTTGCACCACATAGAGAAGGAAGTTCCACCAGTAGCCCATTACAACTTTAGTATTCTTAGTTAAGGGAAAGCAGACTTGATTTATGTGCCTGAAAAAACAGAATAGAAGTTTTAGCATATTTTACTGATGTTGATACTATATGAAATTTTCATGTTGGCCATTTGCCAAGGCCAGTGATACAGATTAAACACAATTTGCCATAACAATGTCACAACTCACGACAAACATCACTGAAGTGGAGTTGGTAGGTAAACGTAATTGTACTAAGTTTGTTGTCAATAACACTACCTGTTATGAGAATACAGTTGGGTATAGCATCAGTCATGCTAAATAGCATAGTTCACTACTTGAAGGCAAAAATGCAGCGGGGAATACAAGGAACTCGCACTACTGTAGTATAATAGGCAAAATTCGGAATAACAAGTCTTGTTAACTAACACAACTGCTCAGGATAGCCACAAAATAAATGGTCATTTAGGGATATAGAACCTTAGGGGTGCAAGCGGGGCAGGCTGCGACAGCGGACAGTCCTTTTCGCGGGTCTAGCGGCAGTCTGCAAAGGCCACTTCAGCCCGCTAAAGCACATTCCAGGCATACTGGCATAACCAGGCTTAACTTGAACTAGAACCAGCACATTCAAAATAAAATAAAATAAATTAAAATAACATCTGACACAGTATTATCCATATATTGCAAGTCCACAAAAATCATTGGGCGCTCAGGATACAAAATGGGTGCATGACTTAACCCATCATGAAAAGACTTTAATTTCTTTTACGAACCTTAAACCATATTTACGTGCTCCAGCGTAGCAAATTGGTACTATAACTCTGTAAGCAAACGGCAGTGATTCTCTTGAGGTACAGAAGAAGGAAGGGCTCTATTGCATAGAGAGATTTGAGGAATAAAACCATCATGAAACTCTTCATCAGGGCCATAGTTCCACAAGATGAACACAACTGACAGAAACAAGATGAGGAGACTACAAACCGTAGCTGTGTAGCACAAAGAGGTTACCAGGATGAGGTCGAAGTCAGAGTAGTCCTTGCTGCTGCTGCTGCGGCACACACTTTTGGGCTTAACCTGGAAGGAAGATCGAAGCATGCATTAATTTTGCAAGATCCACAGATCAAGAAAATCAGATAAGGAATGAGAAGATGAACACCAAAGGGGATACAATGCATACCTAGGAGAAGTCATGTAGAGACCTTGCCATGATGTAATTGAGCTACAGGCAACAGGAGATAGGTGTTACCACTTAACCACAGGGTTATGGCAGTGGTGGCGGCGACGGTGCTCCTCAGAGTCGCACGCAAGTGAGCAGAGGGAGGTGAAGGACGGACGATGGGAGTCGTCGCCTCTTTGAGGGCCTGTGCGCGAATGAGCGGGCTTTGCTGATTGTCCACTTGTGTTAGCACTACAGCCCACTTCAATCCGCAACAGAAAAATGATCTGCCCGCAGGGCTTTTCTTGCGGGGCAGGCTAAGCAGGCCGTGGGCAGGCCCGCGCCCCGCTTGCATCCCTATGGAACCTCCAGAATCTCGTAATGCCTTTTTATACCAGGTTAGATTAATTAGCTAACACACTTGGAAAATTTAAAACAAATGAGGAGAATTATTGCAAACCATTGTCAATGGCTGCATTATGATTGTGAACATTATTATTATATCTTCAATCTCACCAAATAAATTGATGCTCTCCGTTTTCAATTCCACATTTATTCATATGCTAGGTAATCCAGATATACTCATTAAAAATGTGAATATGATACCATTATTTCTTAAAAGAATAGTCACAAATCACAATCATCTGCAAAACTAAATCCAACTCTCAATAATTATGAGTTGTCTATTGTATTCCTTGAAAATGCACAAAGACCCCTTTCTTAATGCCATGCAACACCATTATATTGAATGTGTTGGCTGAAGCATTTCTGCATTTGTTGTAACAAACAAAGCAACTATACAATATCTAGTTTGGTTTTGGATTACTAATTTTCAAGCATGAACTACACAAAATTGCAAAATAGAAAAAACACATTACCTTCTAACAAACTCCACAATTACGATTTTTTTTTGGAATTTGTAAAGATCCATCCATACGACAGATAATCAAAGAATTCCTGATCAGTTCATATAGCTTGAGTTGAATCTCTTGCTCTCATGTTAACCCAATCCATTTCTTGAAATGTATTGCTGCTTCTCTCCTTTTTAATTGTGCTTCTGTTTGCACCTTGGGAGCCTTACCTTTGTACAATGTTCTGTGGTATTTAAGCCACAAGGACTTGTATTTGTATTTGTCTATAAACATCTCTCTTTTCTCCATCATCTCTATAACTTCCATGGCTCGAAGGAAGAAACCACCTCTCACAAAGCAATACAACAGAGAGTCTAAGAGCTCCTGATCAAATTTCATAGAACTTGAACTAGCCAGAAGTTTCATTTCACCCCACAAATCTGTCACTTCCACGTATTTGCCACCAATGGCAGCATAAGCAATTATTAAAGAATGAAAAGTTTGTGCATTTGGCACATGGCCAGAAGCTCGCATCTTGTTCAGTGCTCTGTGAGCATCATGCATCAATCTCTTCTTGCAGAAGAAATGGATAACATTATTCCATTCATGAACAGCATGATCAACTATATGACCACTCCTGACTTCCTCCACTAGCTTGGTCATCAAAGCAGCTACATTGTCATCAGAGCCTTGCACTAATCTCTGAAATTCCTTGTGACCAGCCTTCAGAACATTCAAATTCTTCGATTCTTTAAAAAGATGGAGAGCACCTGTGGTGTTACTGTGATTCACCCTAGATTGTATCAAATCCTCATAACAGCTAGCATCAAGCTGAATGCCAGCTTGTTGAGCATCCTTCAAAAGTGCAGTTATGTCATCTTCATGTTGTCCCTCTTTGCAATAGGCTTTTAGGAGTGATGAATAAATGGATGAACCAACCCTAATTCCAGAAAATCTCATTTCATCCAGAAGATCATGTGCTTGCTCTAATAACCCAAGAGAAATGCATGCATTTATCACTTGAACAACAAAGGAGCTTTCAACAGATACAGGAGAATCTTCTTTGCTTGCTTCCACAAGAAACGACGCCAATGCACTGATCTTATCTGCCTCCAGAAAAACTTTAACAAGCTTGGCATACATTGTTTCAGTTGGATGGAGAATGCCATGCTCAAATTTCACCAGTCCAACCTGTTCCTGCAGCTTATTTGTTAATAGCCTGACTAATTCTCTTGTGTCCAATTCAAGTCTCGCAAAGCTGTTGTCTTTGACGAATGAAGCATAACTTAGCATTTGGCTATTAGAAGAGCATGGGATTTCAGCATCAGTTTTCTCATAAGGAAAATAAAATTTTCTATTTTCAACAGCTTCAAGAACTGCTTTAGCTGCTTCCAATGACCGTTTTGCATTCTTACCTTTCCTAAGCATATCCAACACCATATCAACTGCATGATCCAAATCCCCAAATTTCAAATGACAGGAGAGCAAGCAATCATAAAACTGCCTGAACTCTGATTCACTAAGACCACAAGCTTCATCAACATGCCTCTTTAATGTCTGAATCTCATCTCTGCGCCCATTCCTTTCATATATGTGGGCCATAACAATCAACAAGTTGACTTCAGGCTTCACCCCTATCCTAGGCATTAGTTCGAGGAGCTGCTCTGCTTTTCTTGTAGTGCCAAACACGAGGGATGCAGTCAGAACTATGTTGAATGTAAATGAATTGGGTTTCATTGATAGCAAAGGACGGTTACTCTTCTTCCGTGGATCAACTCTATTATTCTGGAAAAGATAACCAAGCTCCATTACGAGGTCTGCACCGAGAAATGCACCAGTGTTAGTTTGACACATATGAGCTAAAATTGCCGACCATGCTGCAACAGGTGGGTATGCTTCCATCTTTACCAACTTCCTCACAACATTTATAGCAAGATTAGGCAGATCACAGCGTGCAAGAATGAGGGATAGGTAAATTAGGGGTTCCTTATCCAACAATTCTTGCTTCTCTTCAAATGCATGACTAACCACATTGTAGGACTGCTTAAGCCGGTGAGGATCACAGCTCTCTGCCAAACCAGTGATGAGTTTGCTCAAAACGGACTTTCTTGGAAGTCCATCCATGTGAACATGCTTCTCATAAGCCCTCCATGCATCATCAAATCTCAGCTGATCAATTGCATTCTCTATCTCCAATGCTAGCTGAGATGGATCATGAGCTTGGACTAGAATGGTTCCTGTCACAGTGGAAAAGCAAGCGCCACAACTACCAATATTTAGCTCCGGTTTCAAGATTTTGGTACTATTATCCCTACTTTGATTAGTCCCATGACACTTGGAGTAGACATAGTGTGGGCTTTCACGAGCAAACAAACATCGTGGACCCACAAGTAATGAAGATACAGCATTGCTTGAATAATATCTTGAACAAATTCTTCCAACACAAAGCATATTCCTGCAACAGATAACTAGGGTCAAACAGAAAGAACTCGAAACAATGAGTCAATGCTATTTTTGAATGCAGCAGGTTACACTGTTAGAATCGATGGACTTCAATAATACCTTGTCTCAATTACTAGGACAGTAAGCGAAACAAGACGATCGCAGCAGGAAATCAGAACGCTACGTAGCGAGACAAACAACTGAACCTGGGCAGACGACACAGCCAATTTAGCTAAACGGGTACCTTACATCCAAAGTGGTTTTACAAGGGTAGCCATATGTGAAAAAACTTTCCATGTTAATGTTCGCATCATAATTGGTTTAGCACTCTGCGGTGGGAATTTATCTTTTGGGGCCAGTTTGGCTCCTGCTGCACGTCGCTATGCCGCAAGTCTAACCGCAACACAAGTGTGGAGAAAAAAACAAACACCGCATGTTTGGCAAGAATCAGCGTAGGAATACACAGTGAAGGGTGCCGCACTTTCAGCACGCACAAGATGCGGCATGCCACAGTTGGGTCATGGTGTGCTGCGGCCATGAGCCAAACAGATCCTTTGTGTGAAAATAAACTGCTGACACACCTTGGGTAGACTGATCATGCCCCTGAAGAAGAAAAGCCTAATTGAAACAAGGACGGATAGGACAGTTCATCTTCTTCATGCTGAACTTTTAGGCCTTGTTTGTTGTAGCTGCAGATTTTAAACATTAGCTTCTGCATTGCAGATAGTTAAAAGCTATAAAATAATCCCAGCTGTTCTGAGTGTATGTTTAGTTTGGTTTATCCTTTTGTATTGTTGTTTGCCATATTTTCTCAGACTCCCACATAGTTTGAATTACAATTTCGTTTTCAATTGAAATATCAAATTGTATGTCATCCCACAATAGTACCTTTGTCCTTACAAATGGCCTCTCATGAAAACTACTATCTCATAGGCATAGCAAACAAAGCTCATTCATCCTGTTTGAGCACATCCTGTTGACTACATGCAATCTTAAATATAGCCTCATCCCCATTCCCACTACTTTCACTTGAACTCATCTACAAACAAATTTACAAAAAGTTACAGGTAAAAGTAGATAATAGCTTGCTTTATGAAACAACTATTATCAATGACGGTTGCAGGGTATTACAACCAAGTCTGATCTGATTCTTGAGCATAATTTTAAAGACACTGAATCTTCTCTTATATCTTTGAAATGTTTGAACATGATTTTTCAAATAGCTTTCTAATACTACTGCTTGTGCTGTGACAGTTGAGACACAATCAGCTGCGGTGTCCCAGGGAAACTATGATTTGCAATAAGAAAAAGGACAAAAGCAAGGTTCAGTATTGATAGTTAGGGATCTATTACTTTTTCTTTTGTTCGGTTAACAATCATAGCAGGTTAAGAATTGCCGATTTAGCTGATGGGCAGAACATAAAATTGAAATGGGTGCTTCTCCTGATTGATCTTATCAGGTGGCGGATCCAGAAGCGGACTGGGGAATGGAGGGGCTAAATAATAGAAGGCTAGAAAAGGAGGGGTCCAATTCGAGCTTTTCTTGAAAGCAACAGTGAGCACTTGGGGCCATGCGTACATGGCCCTAACTCCATTTTGGTTACAACCGCAAGAGCGTTGATGTAGGATTTCTGCTGGTTTTCTTTCACATTTTTCAGAGAACAAAAGTACTGAGCTGAACTAGGTAGTCCGTGCATTGTAACTAGTAGCGGTGGATAGTATTGCTACCTATTGGTCAACAATTCATTCGTCTAAACATATGAATTGTTTGCCAAAGTTATATGTCGGAAACCATATCATCGTCAATATACAAAAGACCACTTCTTTGTTACTGGGGATTGGGGAATTACCTTGAACGTGTCCTCATCGTCTCCAATATATATCGGGAAGACATTGTTACTGTCAGCAAAACCTTGATAAAACCAAGGCAGGCAAATTATTTAGCACCTCATCAGCAGTGAGCAATTTCATGGCTCCAAAACCCAAATCCAAAAGGCAGGATTTGAAAGAGAAAAGATATGCACTCAACGAGAGACTCAAGCAAGAACTGTATGGCCTTACCCTTATCCCACTTGATGTAAGGCCAGATCTCGTCGGAGGAGGAGGGCGGCCGGGCGGGGCCGCGGGGGCGACCTGGCCCTGGCGGCCTGGGCACCAGCTGGCCGTGGCCGGGCCACGGAAGAGGGCAGCCGCCAGCCGGCAGTAGGCGGGGCGGCGGGCAGGACTGCAGGACAGCACGAGGCGGCGTGCCGGCTTGGGGAGGAAAGGAGAAGGGGCAGGCAGCGCCGGACGCCGGAAGCGGACGTGGCGACCGGTTGAGCGGGACCGCGGGACTGGCGCGGAATCGGGGGGGTGCGGGTGCGGCTCGAAATGTCAACCCTGAATTCCCCGTCGGGGTTACTGCCCCATCCCGTCCCAGCTAGGCCAAATTTCCCCGTCCCGTGAAGGCTCGCCGGAAACACTTCTTTCTCATCCTTGTCCCCGCTCGAGGATTTAATCCCCGCGGGGATCCTCATCCCCACATCCCTTCTTGCCGTCGACGCTGACAACCACCTCGCCGTCCCTGGACGCGGGCGAGCGGAGGAGCAGCAGGAGGAGGGCAGGAGAGAAGGCCCGCGGACTGCTTCTGCTGGTGAAAGCGTATGCATGGTGCAGTCTTGAGCGGTGCGGTGGACGAGAGGCTTGCCCGCGACGCCGTCGTGGGGTCGTCGTCGTCGGGTCGGTCGGTGGCCAGGCGGGGTGGTACGGCGATGGCAGGTCGGTGGAGCAGATCCGTCGCCGTCGATGTCGGTGGTGGCGGATCCGTCTCCACCGCTCCTCTGGTTGGCCGCCACCGCCGTGTTGTGGCCGAATGAAGGGCACCGCGCACTGCGCACCACAATACAATTGTGGGGAGAGGTAGAGGGAGGGACGCTTCGGCCTTGGGAGCTGACAAGCGATCACTGCAGACTAGGAGCGGGAGGAGATTGCGGCGGTGCTGGGCTGGAGGCGAGCGTGCGAGCGAGTGAGAGAGAGAGGCCATGGGCTGGTGGTGGAGGACGGAGTGAGTGACCGGATGGGGATTGAGAAATTAGGGTTGGATGGCGCGTTATATACCTCCGTGACTTATTGGGCCTTTACATGGGCTGGCACCTGGGCTGCCTGCTGCGTGCTTCGCGGGGCGGGTTGGCGGGGATCGGGGTCGGGGACCAGGCAACCATCCCCGTCCCCACCATCCTCGACGGGGACAGCTTTATTATCAAATCCTTTCGCGTTGGGATTAATTCTCCTCCATCCCCGTCCCCTAATGGAAGAATTCACCGCGGAGAATTGGGGATCGGGTCCCCGTTGACATCTTTAGGTGCGGCACCGCGGCTGGTGCCGGGGTGCGTGGTGGGCTGGTGGCTAGGTCTGGGAAGGGGCTACGAGTTTTGCTATTGAGGGGAGTGTTGGGCTGGGTCTGAAGACCTGCTCCTCAATCTTTTGGCCCATGACCGGGGCTACCGCCCTCGGAAATCTTCCGGTCTAAATAGCACTCTGCCGACCACCTTGGTGCGCCGCCTCCGAATGCCACCTCCAGCGCGCCGCCTCACTCTCCCATCCTCTCCCTCTCCCACGCGACCACGCGCCCACACCTCGCCGGAGAGGAAGAAGACGGCGGCGGCTAGGGTTCAGGCCTCTCCCCCTCTTCTTCCTTCTCGGGCTTTAGTTCTTGCCTGTTAATCAGGTATACAAGTATACGATTGGCCATCATAAATTAAGCTTCCTTTTCCTTGGACTCTAGCACTAGCAGCATATAGCCATATATCAACCGATGCGTCGTGGCCAAATATGTTAATTGGTCGTACATGCCAATAGCTCAACATGCAAGTCTGGTCATGAATATCCTTCCTTTTGACTCAGCGATGGCTTTTTAAGATTTAATATAATCTGGCTCTTCTTGACTTGCCTTGCGTCATCTCATCATACTTGGGCGTTATGCATCTCACATATTTTAAAGAAGATTCATCGGCCGGCTTGTAAATATACTTCAATTAGGAGATCTTTCTTGCTTTCAACATCATCGACCGATCTCTTCCTCTCTAGGGAAAGCTTACAAAATTTCGGTGTAAACAGGAGGCAGCTTCACTGACATTATATTCACATCAACAATTGACGCCATGAAAAATGATCGCAAAATGTTAGGAAGAGCTGAGCATCCACTTTATGGCTTTGGCGGAAAAAAGATCCACTCAATTGAAAGAATAATTTTACCAGTTTCTTTTAGAACAGTAAGCAATGCAAGAACAGAACAAATAGCATTTAATGTGGTTGACATGTACTATCCATACAATGCACTCTTCAGAAGAGGAACTTTAAATGCATTCGAAGCAGTCATAAGTTACCCATACTTATGTATGAAAATGCCAGCAATAAATGGAGTAATCACAGTATACAGAGACCAAACTGAGGCAAGAAACATTGAAAAAGAATACACTTTAGGACAAAAGAATGTTCACGCAATCGTTGAAGAAGAAAAAAAAAGAAGAAACAGAAAATGCGAAGGCTCAAACCAAAGCTCAAGCTTGTGAAGAAACAAAAAGAGTACCTCTTGATCCATTAGTCCCAAAGAAACAAGTCATCAGGGATACTGGACTTTCTCAAGAAGAAAAGGACAAACTTGTGCAATTTCTTCAAAACAACAAAGATATATTCGCTTGGTCATCTAATGATCTAGGAGGAGTCAGTAGAGACATAATTGAACACAAACTAGACATCGATCCAAAAGTCAGACCAAAAAAGCAAAAATTGAGAAAACTAGCCGAAGATAGAGTTCAGGCTGTCAAAGCTGAAGTTCAAAGATTGCTTGATGCAAAAGTTATAAGAGAAGTTCAATTCACAACTTGGCTAGCAAACATTGTGTAGGATCTCTGGTACGTCTAGTGGGGGTGAATAGGCATGTAAAAATTTAACTCAAACCGAAGTCAAATTTGCCCACGGCACTGTCACTTTGTGAGCGCGGCACTGTCGCATCTGTAGGAGATATTAGTTCACAGTTCAAAATCTTCCCAATGAAATTTCGATCGGGTATATTTCTTAGCTTCCTTTAGGATAGTAGATCATAGATCGACAGCTGAAAGTGGTGGGAACACCACACACAAGTAGATCAGTCTCAAATTCTAGAAATCACCTCAATCAATAATATGTCATGCAAGTAATGTAAATCAAGCATAAGTGACAATGATTTATCCCGTGGTTCGGCTCGCCACCAAAGTTTGCCTACCTCCACGTTGTTGAGGTTAGCCACTAAGGCTTAGAGCTTTCCAGCCCTTCCTCATTCTTAAGTCAAAAGACTTAACTCTTGAGATGAGGGGTGAGTTTACTAGCTTCAAGAGATGGTTACAAACCTCCTAGAGCTACCACACAAGTTGGTAAGCTCCACGGGCAACGCTTTAACCGGCTAGGAGCCAAGCTCCAAGAGTAACAAACACAACCGCTGGCCAAAACATGAATCAAATGCTCTTTAGAGTTTGAGAATCAATGGAGCTGCTCTCTAATCGAGTTTGGGACCCTTTTTCTTCAAGGATTGATGGGGAAATCAATAGATTTGCTTGAGGGCTTGAGGTCAACAATGGAGTGAGAGAGAGAGCTCTTGCTCTATTTTGGGCATGCTAAAGTGAGGAAGAAGAGAGCTGGTTTGTTACCGTTGGGAAGGAAGGGGAAAGGTATATATACCTCCGGCCCCCAACGATCACTAAAATCATAGATAGCCATTGGGAAGGAAAGGAAAAAGTATATATTCCCCCAGCCCTCAACGGACACTGCACCCAAGAGGTCGGGCGAGACGAGGACGCAACCAAAGGGTCGGGCAAGCCAGAGCCCGCGACCTTGGGGTCGGGCGAGACGGAGCCCGCGACCAAAGGGTTGGGCGAGCCAAAGCCCACGATCAAGGGGTCGGGCGAACCGAAGCCTGCGACCAAGGGGTCGGGTGAGCCGGAGCCCACGACCAAGGGGTCGGGCGAACCGGAGCCCACGACTAAGGGGTCGGGTGAACCGAAGCCCGCGACCAAGGGGTCGGGCGAGCCTCTCTTCAAGTGCGGCAGTGCCGCACCACGCAAGACAGTAAGGGTAATAGTGAAGTGTAGATTGTCTTTGCTGTGAATCTGAGGATGCTTGTGGTTGTTTGAGCACTTGGGAGCACATATTAGCTTAAGCATTGTGCCCCTTTATAGTACGGCTTTTCCTATACTCAAATTCAATATATATAAAAGAATTTAAACCTCTTTTGAGTTTGAAGCCATCTATATTTGTAATTGGGGACTCCTCCGTTCCGTGTAGCATCCTCGAATATAAGTTTCCTACTTGTCATCTCGATAAATCTTATTAGTTCTCTAATTGCGTTGTGATTATCACCAAAACCCATAATTAAGGCTTGATTGTACTTTCAATCTCTCCCTTTTTGGTGATTGATGACAACCCAATTAGAGCTTACAAAAGATATGAAATAAATACTGAGACTTTCGAGCCATGGGTGTAGAGTCTCCCCCTAAGTATGTGAATAGAGAATTGAATTCTCAAATTGACATAAGAAGCCAAGATTCATATTTTAGTGAAAGTAATGGGGCTCCCCCTACATGCATGCTTCTGTGAGGTGCTGCATACTGTGTCAGGTATATAAAACGTGATGCAAATGACAGTTTATGCACAACATGGTTTGCTGTTGCAGCTGGGTGCGGCACTGTCGCACTTGCTGTAACAACACAGATCAGAACAGACACCACACAACATGTGATACATATAACGATATACATTCTAGCACAATTGTATCATAAGCGACAGCATAGATTAATATATGTCCATATCCCACACAAAGAGTCAAATAGTAGCATAATTTCACAATTTAGAGTTTTGAGCGACTCTCAAACTTTCACCAAACGAAGACTATCCTAAACGGATACGAACATGACTCTAGCTGTAGCAACCTCCATGGCGTCGAAAAAGTTGTTGACGCCACTAATTTTCTCCCCCTTTGGCATAAAGCACCAAAAAGAGAAGAAAAGAAGAAAGATCAACACCTACTCGTCATCTCCCTGGATGTCCGTCCAATCAATATCATCACCTCCTGCAGCCCTAGCACCTCCTGCAGCAGTCCCGGTACCACCATCACCATCATCGTCGTCGGAGTCAATACGTGCACGGCCCGGATGGTGAGTAGTGACGGTGTAGCGAGTGGAAAGAGTGGAACGCCTCGGCTCCTGTCTTTGATGGTATCCCTCCAGGGTCTCATCCCAATCTGTTGCTCATCCCTGCTACTCCTCATCATCTAAATCTGTGCCAGAGAGACTCGGAAGGTCATACTGTGGAGGAGGTGGAATAGGAGGAAGTGGTGGAAGGTCATGTCCACGCTGCTGACACTGCTCAAGCTGTGTCTCATATGCTCTGTCAGCTACATAGGTGCACTTGCCGAAGATTGCCTTCAACCACTTGCCAAGCTTCTTCATCTTTCCTCCTCTATGAGACCTAGAGCGGGAAGACTCAGGGATATCTACATCAGCATGAGAGCTCCCCGCTCCATGAGTAGCTGTAGCTGGCTGGGTCTTCTCAATTTTGTAGACGGTGTGCATCCCATCATTCGGAAAATAAAATCCAGTGACTCTCAATCATGAACATGAGGTAAGGGGCATAGGGC